ATGAAAATGATTAAGCTATTAACAGGAAAGCAAACAAACAAACAAAGATCGGGGCCCATGGAATTGTACGAGTTACTACTGGTGCACGTGCAAGTGCGTTAGCTTGTTTTGTGGGCTACTTGAATCTAAACGGTTGCTCATGTGAAAGCAGACTTAAGTCTGGAACAGATGTCATGCAAATATGGACAAAAAGCTGTGAAAGTAGTTCAAGTTGGAATAACATATACAGATATGTTTATAATAGTCTAATTGGTAAAAATAACAATGCAGCCTTACCTGAGCTAGTTCTCATTGATGTCAGTGGAATCTTAATTGTACTATGTAGGATAATATGTAGGATACTATGTAGGATAATGTAGGATAATAGAGAAGAAGTGAGTGAGTCAGACTTGTTGCTGGCCTCCAAATGCTCAGAATCACCAACTCTGGGTGCATAAGGGCAGTATGCATACATGTGCACGTGTGATCATGCAATACACACATGCACACACATACGTTTTTCTTCTGGCAGCCACTTCATGAAGATAACTAGAAGACTACACAGTAGTTTAAAATCAAGAAGCAAAAAGTCATTGAAGTTCAACCAAGGTTGGGGCATTGAGAGTACAGTTTTTCTAATAACACATGGAAGGCATCAAGCTTTGAAGAAGAATGCCCAGGGATCTTTAGCAGCTGCAAAAAGGGCAGGTTCTTTGGGGTGACATGAAATAAATCATCCCTATAAGCACAGTCTCGGGTGCATCAGAGGCGGCAGAGCTTTCCGTCACTTTGGGGGAAGAGTGCCATCTGCTGAAGGACAGAGACCTTTCCCGTGGAACCTTCTCCTTCCCTTGGAGCTTGCCCAACCAGAGCTCCCCCTCTCAACCATAGGCACCACGTGCCAATTCACACATGTGAGTAGACTTATTCTGACATAAATTACCTGACTGCGTAAGTGGCAAAACTTTGGTGGGAGGTATAAGAAAAGAAACGCAGCATCAAAATTCAGTCCTTCAATTGTTGTGTGTCCAGAACGGTATGAAGCATATGTAGAAAGATACATGCTGGCAGTTCCAACTAATATCTCACTTGGGTGAATAGATATATGTTATTGTACGGTCAAATGCATGCACTGTTGTACCTTCTACACTCAGAATCAGCCTGTGTTTTTAAAATTAACCTAAAAAAACATGACATTATGTCAGCTGATATGGGGTATTTTTTTCCTGTGCTTTTTGGAGTCAGACTTATGCATTGGTATGATTTGGAAGGAAACATAGCTTGACAGCATCTTTGTCTTCTCCTTTTCAGATGTCACCAAATTTGTTTTAACCAGACAGATTATTTCTCATGCATTCACGTTTTGCATATTACAGAATTAACAAAACAAATACATCTTCATGCAGAAAGAGTGTTTTCCAAACTGGCAGAAGATAAAGCCATATTTCTTATCTAAGAAATGTTACATGAAAAAATATATGTATTTATATTTAGTATCAAGGAGAATAAGGATACTTGAATAGCATATATTTTGCAAGAACATCTGCAGAATTAAAGATAATGTTAATTACTTATACGATGTTCTGATGAATTTCTGTAGGCTTACAATTGGAAGAGAACTACTTAGCTGTGCAGCTGTTATATATTATTGCAACTTAAATGAATTAAAAAGATGATTAGAACAATATATATCCGCTCCCAGTAGTTTTTTAGGAGTAAGAAAACACTTAGAGCTAAACAGCATGCTATGAAGTATTTAAGATGGTACCCATTGAACAAGTCTTTGAAATTTTAGTGTATTTTACTAAAGGTAGTAGATTCATGTAGAATCTATCCATACTTCTTAAAGAATAAAGATTTCCTGGCAGTCATAGGAACAGTCTTAGATTCCTGTTAAAGTTAGGATAACTGAGGCACAAGGGCTTTATTTTACTTACACTCAGTTCATGATGATAATGGCAATGAACTTCAAGTTTCAGACCCTTAATTCACTGCTCAGTTTCAAATATCTTAGTATCAGAAATGTGAAATATGAAAATTAGTATCCAACATACGTAAGACTTCAACACAACATAAAGTTTTTACTGGCACTTTTTTTAGAATGAGCTAAGCAAAGCAATACATGGACCTAGAAACTTACTATTTCACTAAAGTATGGGAAACAGATTTATCTTGAGCAAAGAAAACACTCTGGGAATTAGGCAAATCCTTTATTTACTTTCTCTGTACTTTGTATATACTTGTTCCAGCTAAAAAGTAAATTAATTAATTTATATTGATAAATAAGGCATACATCATAGAAATGGATTTAAAACAATGTTGTTGTAATTCAGGATTACATGCAATATTGATAGTCTCATATAAAAACAGAGATACATAAAAATGACATTTTACATGCCTTGAAAATTTTATCAGTAGTGGTGGTGTATTTTGCTTTCTTCCTGAAGACTATTCAGCCTAGACATTACAAAAATCTAATTCCAGTTACTATATAGTAATATATATTATTATAAATATTTGCTGGAGGTAGCCTGCATATACTTGACCCTATCTCAGAACAGGGAGCTGAATTACGTGAACTCTCGACCTCATTTTCCGCCCTACATGTGACTCCATTTGTTTACATTTTTTAAACTAATGTATTGAAATTTCAGATTTCTCACTAGGGTCCAAGCAGTACCAAGGACCCCCTCACTGGTTTTGCTGTGCGTTTTAATTCTGGAGGTGCTAATACAGTTTTCTTCTATTAAGTGCAGAATGATGGCATGAGATCACTGTTTCAACGGAAAGAGAAATTGTTGTTGGCCAGGTATAGCTTTAGCAACTCTGGCCATATGTAGATTTATTAACTGTGGAAATGCCTATTATTGATTCTGTAGTTCTAATTATTTTCTAAATGTGTTCAAAATGGGACATTAATCTCATTTTCTCTCTAGAAATGAATATGTGATCCATGCAAAACACCAGATTATTTTTTTAACTTCTGATTCTTCTAATGTTGATTTATTCTCTTTGGTTTTAGTGGAAAATCTTGCAAGTTTGGCTCCTGTCGATACATACACTTGCAAATCAGAAACTTTCCTTTTGAATGTAAAACCGCTTTGCTTTCCGTTGTTGAAAATTGTCTTTACACATCTCCCATACAAAAGGGCTAAAATAGATTGAATGCAATTCACAGAACCTTTCTGGTATTGGAATTTTAGCCCAAGTTTGTCCTCTGTCACTCTGAGGGAGGCAAAGTTGGGCAAACTCTCTGGATTACGGTATGCCTGCATGAGTGTGATTTGGTTCATGGAGACTGAGACCATCTAAACCCGTTTGGCTGACAGCAATGGGGGGTGCTCGCAGATCCTATGCCTCAAAGTGGTGTCGAGAATTTGCCCGACTGTGAGAGAAGGCTCACTTGTATTGGGGTCATTTTTTAACATGCTTCTTATAAATTATATTTCATTTTACATCTCGTTCAATCTTTATAATGCAGTGAGTCAAACCTAGACATAAGCGGAGCTTTACTTCCCGTACCTGGTAGCTCTGCCGTAGGTCCATAGGACGCCTCACAAGAGTCCTTCTCCCCGGTCCATCTCCCCTGTTCACCTAGAGCATTGAGTCTTCTTCGCCACCACTACGCTACCCCTTTTGGCTTGGGATAAAGTTTCCATGGCCATGTGGGGTTGACTGTAACAGGCACCCATGCACCTCCGCGTAGTGTTCGTGCCCCCAGCTGCAAGGGCACACATTTCATAAGGCTTATCCCAGCAGGCTGGGGCCGTGTGACGCTAGTTCCCAGGGAGCATCCAAGCAGCCGCTGGCGCCCGGCCCCACCAGCGGTACCTGGCGCCGCGGCCGCCTGCAAAGCCCTGCCGCTGCTGCCGCTGCCGCTGCTGCGCTGCCGCCTCCGCGGCTGCTGCTCGCGGCGCGCAAAGGCAGCGCGGGGCGAGGAGCCGCGGGGAGCCGCGAGGAGCCGCGAGGAGCCGCGGGGAGCCGCGGGGAGCCGCGAGGAGCCGCGGGGAGCCGCGGCGCGGGGCGAGGAGCCGCGCAGGGCGGTGCGCGCGTGCGGCAGCCGCCCGCGCCCTGTCCCGCGGCGGCATCAGACCTGCGGCGGCGGCGGCGCGAAGGAGGAGGAGAGGAGGAGGAGGAGGAGGGCAGCACGCAGGGAGGAGGAGGGAGGAGGCGGGGGAAACCCACGGCGGCCGCGAGCGTGACACCAGAAACTTGGCGCTCGCCCCTCGCGGCTGCTGCAGCCCCGCTCGGCGCGGCGCACGGAGCGGAGCCGCCGCGCGGAGCCGGCCAGTTGCCCGCGCCCCGCGGTGCCGCGGCGGCGGGTGATGCGG